TACTTTAAAAAATCCACTTACAGATAATCCTACACATGATGTATAAAATTCATTTTGTTAGACTCTCCCAGATAACTTTGTATTTTCTTGATCAAAAGAGAAATCCTTGGGATTAGATCTGAGAGGCGTTTGTTCTGATATGTTTTAGGTCTAAAAAATTGATTAAACACTTTTCCTTGCTCATTTCAGGAGCATCCATGTAGGCTGATCCTCACCCTCACCCTGGGTAACATGATAGTGCATCCTGTGTGATCAGGATCCTGTGGAGTTGTTCATGTCACTGTCCTGTGTTCTGTTGTCAGAATTCTAAGAGCATAGTCAGTTTGGTCTCCAAATTTTCCTCACATACTATTGGTGTCACTGCAATAGTTTCCAGAGAAGCCTCAGCCTCACATATACAGACTCTCTTTTCCTTTTACAGTGCCTCAAGTCCATTAACCTGGAGCCCACAGCCCACACTGCTTCGCTGAATGAAACTTCTCAGCTCAAACAGGAGTACCAGTCTGTTTCAGTCAGCAGCAACAGAGACTTCCAGAAGAGGAACTCTGGAGCCTTTTTGGGCAGCAAAAGCAATAATTGAAAGTCACAGAACTCAGTAGCCTATTGGAAGGATCAAGGGGAGATGGAACCAGGACTGGAGCTGACACCAGCTGGCATGTGCACACTGAGTTGGAGAATCTGTAGATTGGTTGTGCAGGACAAAACTTCAGAGGCATCATGACTTGGGAGTTTGAAGTACAATCTTATTTCTACAAAGATAAATGAGTATAAAAATGGAATCTGTAAAAATTATAACCAATTATTCACTTTTACTGGTGCCTCTAACTTTAGAACAAGTAATCTATTGATATTTCAGTTTCCATTGTGTCTTTGGAAGTCAGTAATATTTCATGGACTTGTGGTTTCTCCGTCTCATTCACAATAAAATACATTAAACTATAGATTACTCAGAAGTCCCATGTTTTCTTATGAAGATCCATTTTAGACTCCCTTTGAAATATAAGTAAATCAACTTATACTCACACACAAACACATTAACACACACACATGTACACACTCATGCACACTCATGCACACTCATGCACACACATGCACACACATGCACACACTCATGCACACACACATGCACACACCCATGCACACACATACACACATGCACACACACTCATGCACACACACATGCACACACCCATGCACACACATACACACATGCACACACACTCATGCACACACATGCACACTCACATAGACACACAGAGGTGCACACATATATTCCCGTGTGTGCATTCACACATATTGAACAAATGAAATTATATTTAATATAATATACTACAGTAATAGTTGTATCTCAATCTCTTTGATGATAAGATGCTAATCCGCAGTTTAAAGGGTCTGTGGGATATTCTTTGTTTTTCTCATGACTAAAGAAATAGTAAGTGTAATAGAATATCACAGTAGAGGGGCCTCTAGAGGATTTCCTTGGCTGGGAGAGGAAACCACAGGGGCTGACATAAAAACACATGTTCATGAAGCATAGTTCAGAGTTCCCTAGCTTCTGAAGCAATTCCATACTTCCATACTGGATATGGAAGTCTCTGTTGGACCTCAGTGCCTCCTGCTGGTCCTGAGTGTCACTGCAGGGAGGTTTTTGTGCAGGCTCACACAGGAGTTCCTCAGTGTGTGTCTGGCACAGTAATACATGGCTGTGTCCTCATGTTGCAGACTGTTTAGTTTTAAGAAAACTTGGCTCTTGGAGTTGTCCTTGCTGATGCTGATTCGGGATTGGAAAGCAGAATTATATGCTGTGTATCCATTATAAGCTATTCCTCCCATCCACTCCAGACCCTTTCCTGGAGGCTGGTGGACCCAGTGTACATCATTGCTGGTTAATGAGAACCCAGATACAGTGCAGATGAGAGACAGGGTCTCTGAGGGCTTTACCAGGCCAGGTCCTGATTCCTTCAGCTGCACCTGGGACAGGACACCTGGGGACAAACAACAACACCATCAGTCATACATCCCATAATAACATGCCTGAGTCCCTCTCCTCAAACTCTGAACTCTTACAGGTTGGAAAGGTCACCAGGCAGAGGAGCAGCACCAGGACAGCCATGCTCTGCTGGAGGCTCCAGTGAGAAGGAGATGGGGCTGCTCAGCTAGGCCCTGTGCTTTCAGCCTGAGCCTGAGGCTGCTTTGCATTGGGGGAGGATCCTGAGAGAATAAAAGGGGGCAAGGGGCAAGGTTCCCAGTTTCACCTACAGGTGTCTGAGATTTGCTTTATTTTCCTCAGAGGAACTGGTGATGAAAAATTTAGAAAAGTTTCTAATTCTTTGTGGATTTTTCAATTCCATGTAAACAGGAAATTATGTGATGCACAGTGTGCAGAATCTGCAATGAAAGCATTAAGAGAGTCCACATTCACACTGTGCAAGCTGAAGAGAGTACCACATCCTCAGTGCATATCCTTGTAAATTCAAGTAGATTTAGTCACAGGATGTACTTTAGTTCTTAGTGGTGGGAAACAAGAAGTCATGACCTGGTTGGAATCTTTTCTCTTTTCTCTTAGTGTGAGTTGAGTTAATGTTATGCCTATCAGTCATCTGGAAAATTCAGGTTGTGAGGGAGAAACTCACAAACACTTAGTACACTTGATTTTAAATGTTTATCTGAGGAGAGACACTAGGGAATTAGATAGCAGCTTTACCCTCACGGGAACCATTCCACATTTGTGGGTTATGATTTCAGTAAGTGATATTTTAGGTGAGTGAACTTCTCCAAAGCCTAATCTTTATATTAGTTAATACTTCCCATAGGGACCTCAGAAACAGATAAGAAAACTCTCTCTGTCTCTCTTCATATTTAGGATGTATCTTGGTCTATGGTGATTTATTTACTCTGACCTCATAAAAAAGCTCAGAATAAATAAAACAGAAATCATCTGTTTTCACTGCTGGGCAGCTCTGCAGACTGCAGGTTTTATGTGTGAGACTCACAACTCAGAATTTTCTTCCTGCAATTGGAAACAATGGAAAAAATCATAGCTATGTCCTCAGGAAACAATGGAACACATCAGAACCAACCAAAGCACACATGTGTTGAACTGTCCTTGTTGGGGTCCCATAAAATAATTGTGCTGATCTCATCTGTGAGACACGGGTATTGGGTTGTGAATGTCAAAGGGAAACTATAATAATATCAGAGCTATGGGTTTGGGGTTAAATAATCCTAAAAGGTCATGAGACTTTTCAATGACAGAATGAGTGGATAATCAGATTTACCCATGTCTATCAGTGAGACAAATATGGAGAAGAAATCTCAAATGTGTCCATTAGAGTGCAAAAACGGGTTTTTTCAAAGCTTTGATAGTCTGAGGAAGTGGAAACTTATCTCTGTGTCAGAAGAACAAGTGACAGGGTGTTCTCACATGGTGGAGAGCGCCCTGATCATCCTGATGAGCCCCTTCCCAGCAGTGAGGCCACTTTTACTCCAATCATCAAAGGAGAACCTGAGTTTTTCATACTGGCTTCCTTCCTATGTTGAGAAGAAATTCTCTAACAGGGCCTCTCTTCCCGGAACACTGGAGTCAGTGACGGGATGAGATCCTCTAAAGCAAAGTCTGTTATCACAGCATAATGGACTCATATTAGTTTCTGTGACTTATTTTTTTGACTTATACAATAGGAATTTACTTCTTTTTGATTTTCTAATTTTTTAGTAATTAAGTGTCAAACTGGTGTGCAGAGTGAAAAGATTCATTCTCACTAAGTGGATATTAAATACCAACTGATGTCAATGGAATGTTCATAAAGCTCTCTTCCAGCAGCCCTTATCTTTTATTTTAATTTTTGAATACATTTTACATCCCAACCACAGTTTGCCCCCCTCTTCCTACTCCTGCTTCCTCCCACTTCCTCCCGATCCCATGCCCATAATCCCCCAAAAGGTTAAGGAGTCAATGAAGCCTGACACATCAAGTTGAGTCTGAACCAAGCCTCTCCTCCCCATCAAGGCTTGTTGCAGAGAGTTTTCTTGTCTGCTTGGCCCCAAATAAGAACAAAGATGCTATATCAAATATTTAACTGTTAGCCAGTGGCTTGAGGCCCTTATTGGCTATCTCTCCTTTAATTATTAACCCAAAACTATTTACCTATGTATTTCTACAAAGCCTTATCTTTCCAGAGAATGCCTGGTGCATCCTTTCTTCCCAGGTTTTACATAGCGACTCTGTCTGGTGTGTGTCTCTGCCTAACTTTCCCAGAATTCTCCTATCTGGTATCTCTGCCTATCCTTCCTGCCTGGCCACTAGCCAAACAAGAGAAACATATGTACAGGAGGACATGCCCAATATCTCCTCTTTTCTGTCTAAATAAAAGGAAATGTTTTAATTTTACTTTATTTTTGTTTTGTTTTGTGTGTTTTTTTGTTTTATAAACATTGATCTAAATATTTTATACATGTGTATGTTTTCCCTTGGGGGAGCAAGGATGGCAGGAAATCTTTGGCTCCTTCTTAGGAACATTGACCACACACGTGTGGATGGACCCCATGCAGGCAGAGCAGGTCAGAGAAGGTAGAATCGCATTGGAGAAGCAACTGTGGCTTTTGACTGCCTCTACAGATCTCTTCCTAATGGCTGAAGCTATGACAACAGAACCCTTTCCAGGCTACTTCCCCAGAACTCACAGGACACCAATGTGTTCTGTCCACAGGTGTTTCACCATCACAGCAACACCACTCCATCACAATACTACAGACCTAGATCAGTACCCAGTTGACATGGTGCTTTCATTGAACAAACATTATCTCCTGTCTTCCAGTGCCCAGCACCCTTCATAAAAACACTATGTATGCGATCCCACAACACTTGAGGAGAATGCTATATTCTGGTTCCTGTAAGAGCCACAACTTGAGTGGTCTGAGCTTCAGATAAAGAACCTGAGCTCAGAATTAGCCAGAGGTCCTACACATCGTGTTTCTTCTACAGCAGCCTATGTAAGACACCTAGAAGCTTGTAGGAAAGAAAAGTGAATAATAGATTAAAAGAAAATTCATCACACACATTAAGTTTTTGTGGAACTGTACAAGCTAACCACTAAGAAAAAAATGGAAAAGAAACAAAAAAGTTACACATTACCCACGAGTGGGATAGGAGCTGTTTGCAGCGAACTGATGCCCAGAGTGTCACTAGCATCAGTGACCTCATGACTCAGTGCTGGGACCTCATGGCCAAGTTATTACTGACACCACAGCTGGGGCAGCACTGGGTCTGTTGCCCATAGCCTGTGTGACGATGACATAGAGACTGAAGGTCATCCGGGTCATGGATCTCTGCACCTGCCTGGTTTGCTTGTTTTACCTAAGTTGAACCAACACAGTGCTCTAACCCAGACTCTTACTGAGTGTCTGCCCTGAGTCTAGGGCTCCACAATCTCAAGAGTCCTTTGTTTCTTCAGGATCTGACCCTGGTCCCCATACAGAATCATCTGCCCTGTGTGATTCTAGGCCTGTTGTTCAAGTCATGAAAAACATGTGTAATGTGGCTGTAGAGATAGCTCTGTGTTTCAAGTTCTAGCCACAGAAGAACAAGGACCTGTGTTTAGTCCTCGGTAACTATAAAGAGAGGTAGGTTTGGTAGCGAACCAGTAAGCCCACCTCTGAGACATAGATCATTTTGATGACTGGCACTCACTGGGCAACCAGTCTACGCAGGTTGTGAGATTCAGAGCCAGTGATGAAACTTGTCTCAAACACATGATGCAGAGTGATAGAGGAAGTCACCTCCTACCAATATGTACACAAACACAAAGATACACACAGAAACACACCAACCATATATATATAGAGAGAGAGGAGGAGGGAGACAGGAAGGAAGGAAGGGAAAGAAAGACAGAGAGAGAGACAGCAACAGAGGGAAAGGTTATAATAGACACACATAACCACAGATAAACTGAAATTTGAGTAAATAAACCTGTGGACCCTCCAAAGATTAGTGGACACCACGTCTGTAGAAAGAATCCCCGACTGTGACATGGAGCAGCAGCCCAGACACTGAGGAGTCCAGTCCTTTATACCCTTCTCTACAGGCTCTTCTGTGACCCAGAGAAACCTGTGCTCTGCGCGCCCCCTGCTGGTCCTGAGCATCCTGCAGGGAGGTTTGTGTCTGAGCTCTCAGCAGCTTTCACTCACTGTGTCTCTTGCACAGTAATATTTCTCAGTGTCCTCAGACTTCACACTGTTCATTTGTAGGAACAGTATGTTCTTGGCATTGTCTCTGGAGATGGTGAATCGGCCCTTCACAGCGTCGGCATAATAGATATAACTACTAGCACTACTAATGTATGCGACCCACTCCAGCCCCTTCCCTGGAGCCTGGCGGACCCAATTCATGTAATGGTTACTGAAGGTGAATCCAGAGGCCTCACAGGAGAGTTTCAGGGACTTTCCAGGCTGTACTAAGCCTCCCCCAGACTCCACCAGCTGCACCTCACACTGGACACCTGCAAACACAGAAAATTCTAGTCAGAAAACTCTCACAGAAGCTAATTATTTTTTTCTTTTTCTCTTGTGAACAGAACACACAGCAGTTTGTCTCCATAAGTTACCTTTTAGAATAAGGACAAAGAAAACCAATTTGAGTCCTGAGTTCATGGCAAGTGGCCTGTGTTCAGTGCTGGTCACAGAACGGTAGGACCTGGGAATCCCGGGCTGGGCTCCTGGGTCAGAGCTGCAGGTTCAGGGCTGGGCTGGTTTTCATGGGCACAGAGAAGCCTCATTTGCATGTCTTCCTGGTATAGGAGGCTGTAAAGACGGACCTGGGAAGATCAGAGCAGATATAAGAAATCAGTTGCACTGATGACAGATACAGAAATTGACAGAGTAACGTTTCTCTGTGCACACACTTTCCATGTGAAGAATTCACCACACTTAATTTAGTTCCTTTTGCAGCAAACACACAACACACACTGTGTTTCCACACTGTAATGTCTTCTAATTATTAGTGAGAATTTAAAAATCTCCAACCAGAGTAGTGTTTTTAGATATGTGCTCAGTCTCTCCCTCTGTTGGTTTGGACACGGCTTCTCCCTGAGGTGGAAAGTGGACAGATTCATTGCTGCCTCTAACAGAACTCCTGCCCTTCGACAGGAACACTTGAGACTTTCTGGATTTTACTCTTTTCTGACAGAATGCTGTCCTAAGGACACAGGAATTCTACATGTGGGGCACTCCTTTTTACTGTTTGTCGTCCTCTCAGTGGTTGCTATGGAGACATTTTTATATTTTCTATACTCACTTTTTCACCTCCTGAGCTTTCCTCATGATCACTTTTTAATCCCCACTCTGCCTTTCCGTTTTCTACCTCACACTAGGTAATGCATTACTGTCTTTATGTTGTCTTAGGCCAATTTTTATTTCTCCATATTCATATATTCAACCTAATAGGGACACTTAATAAATATTTATAACAACACACAAATTTATGGCAATTATATGACATTATTTTTAGTTTCCCCAGTTCTCACACTTCCTACACACCCATCCTGTTTCTCTCACACACCCAACTTTTCCTTTCAAAACTCCAGTATTTCCCTGTATACTGCTCCTCTTCTCCTTCACTTAAGATGTCTTTTCATGCCTTTTCCATTCTAGATCCAAAGCCTACATAACAGAAATCAGAACACCCAACAGACACAGTCTCAAATTCATTCTGGATTCTCTACATGGCAGGAATGCTCCTTCCAAGACTTCAGTAGGCTGTGTGACACCACAGAGGAGAAGAATTTGCTCTGTGCCTTGGAAATAAAATCCACTGGGGAAGTGACTGCAGAGATGGAGCCAACCAGTTCAGCCAGCTCTCAGAGAATGTCTGTTTCGTGCTTGTTGGGGAGACCCCACATCTGTGTCCATTTATGTGTGTGCATGATCTTTGTCCTCAGAGTGGCAGAGGTAGAGACTGGTGTGAGCATTAGTGATCCAGCCATCTCATTCAAGCAATGGTGGCCTCCTATACTGTGAGTGCAGTGTCTCCCATGCCTGGTCCTCTGAGATTTAGGTGAACATTTTTCAGTCGTTATCCTCAGTATGTCTCATATTGGGGTTATCTGATATTTTCATTGTGGTAAAAAGAATCTGTGAAAATTATTACAAATATGAATGTACATTGCTCTTACTATATTGAAGAACTTGGCATGAGTCTATTTAGTCCAGTACTTTTGTTTTTGGTTACTCTAGAATTTGTTTGTATTAATATTCTATATTTCCTTGTTCCTTGAGTTTCACTATTCCATGAGTCCCCATAAAGAAATTCACTAAGAATAAGCAATTTTCTAAGGTAAAGAATTCATACTAAAGGCAATCATTTGTATAATTGTCTTCTATTTGATGGGAGGATTTTTATTCTTAAGTGTTTGTTTAGTCACTTGCTTACTTATGTCCTGGACACATGTATACTCACTTAGTGCTCTATGTTATCATGAACAAACACACAAAGCATCCTATCAACAGGAAGAAACAGATATGTATAGGTAGATGAACTGGATCTCTTACTTCCTGTCCTTTTACAGGGACACCCTGCTTGAGCTGGACTATCTATGTATACCAAACTGATATAGAATTATGAGATATTTTCTTGTCATTGTCTGCCTAGTGACAAGATTAAGGGTGTACACCACCATTCCAACCACCTCATGGAGGATTTCAAAGATTAAATAAGTAATTGGAAAATGCTTTATTTCACAAAAAAATATTCTGATCATTATTTCCCTTCTTTAATCTTTTCCTAGAACCTTCCTGTCAACCAATGTGATCAATTCTATAACTTGCTGAGCTTTAAAGATATTTAGAAGAATGGCTTCATGACTTTAATTTTCATATTGGCAATAATTGGTTTAAAAATCAATAAGTGAAAATGCGTTTTTCTCTTTTAAAATCATTTGCTTTTATACCTCCCTAGTACATGAATTCTGTGTAGTATGGCTTTTGTCTGACCTTCAAGGAGCCTCTCTCTTTTACACACCTGTCTCCAGCAACTCCAAAGCATGCCCTAGTTCTACAGTCATGCCAGCTGAAAGTAATTGAGCCTAAGTTTCCCTCATGTTCACTGATATGCCTCTGTGTGCAACAGAGTCTTAGAGCACACTCAGGACTTCAGAGTCATCTTTGGAAATAGAGGTGCATTTACCTTCACATGGAGTTATATGGGTGTGGGAAGAGTCCCCATCTAGCTAAAAAAATCCCCATAAAGCTAAAATACATCAATCTCAGCAAATAAGCTCCATGGAGCATTCTGAATATATATTTTAAAAAAGAACTTGATCAAATATATTCATCACTAATTTTGTTCCCATTTTCAATACAATCTGTAGAGTGTATAAGTGTATAGTCTAGGTAGGTTTATGAATGCTTCCTTAATATGTTATATCTTCATTGTAAACTCTTAGAAAACACAATATTTTTATATGTAATGTATGTACTTTTATCAAAAGCCAATATAATTTATATAAGAATGTCTCTGAATAAAGTAAACTTTAGTATTAATATGAGTATAAAATGTATTGTTTTATAGGTTAAAATACTTTTATTAATGTGTACACTGTGTACTGAGAGAATTCAGGATGGAGGAGATGGCTTTGTGGAATGGGGCCTGCATCCCAGTATGAGTGTCTCAGTTTTATCCACAGCACTCAGATTAGAAGCTGGACATGAAGGTGAATCCTACAGTCCCTGCCCTGGGAGATATCCATTTGTCTGGTGATATAGATGTTGGTTTTATGAAAACTTTTCTACCTATGTGGGTTGGTCAAGAAGAAGGATTCCAATCAGAGGATGTGGGGCAAGAAGATGTCTGTTCGTGAGAACATCACCTCTCAACTTTGTGTTCCCTGGGGTGTCTGAGAACCTGCTGATCTCATGGATGCACTTTAACAGGGAATGACATGGTAATAATCTTTATTAACAGGGAATAGCAGTATCACAAAACAGTATTTATTAGTCAAAATATGAGGAATATGGCCATGAAATATTAACATTTGAATCGAGACCTCATCTGTATTACCTAAGAACTCATAAATTGAATACCTACCAGCGCTGGAAGGGGAAAAACTACAGACACACTTTATTTCAATTATGAGTATGTATTTCTGTGTAGGCAGTTTAGATTTAATGGTTACAAACTCAATGCATCTGTCCTTATAGGTGGCTATGAGCAGCTAATTTCATGTGTCAGGAAATGTACATAATCCCCAGTTGCTTCTCTAGTACTGGATGGGTAATCATGTTCTCAAGAGTCTACACACTAATAGAGCTGAATGAACCTGCAGGATATTTTGGAAATGACAGCCAGGCACCGAGAGAACACAAGGACCTATTATCAAGTGTACTCTTAGAAATGGTTGTCAAGGAAATTAAAATTATGGTACAATGTCCCTGATTTGGACAGTGTAATTGTGAAGATAACTTAGTTACATGAGAAGGATTAATAAATTCTGTGTTTATGACCATTGATCACAGTAAATAAGAACCTATACTGGTCTACATATATGGAGGTAGTAGAATTTTATGAGTTAACCCCAAAAGACAGACTCGTCATTTGACATGTTGTGGGATAATTCTCTAGGACTTTATTGAAAGCTAATTTTTACAAAGATACACACGTGTGAAATAGAATCTGTCAAACAGGATAACCAGCTCTATCCTTTTATGGAATCTTCTGGTGTAGAAGAAGGACACTATTGGAATTTTGGTTTCCATGGCAACTTGGCAATATGATACCAATTTAGAGAAGCTGTGGATTCTCTACCACATATACAAAAATGAAAAGGATGAAGAAAAGTGTTTTCAAAATCCCAAACCTCCTTTCTGAACTTACCCTGTCAGCAAATGTCAAAAATGCTGACCCCTTTTGAAATATCCATGCAAATAAGGAAATGTATAAACATAGGTGCACATATATGGTATGTATAAAAATATGTGCCATTGAATGGGATAAATAGCAGCAATTGAATATCTCAGATGCATTGTGGGTAAAACTTATGTTCTCGTGTGTGAACCCAGAAATTAAGTAGAATATGAAAGAAGAGAGGTCTCTAGAGGATTTCCATGGATGGAAGAGGAAACCACAGGTGCTGACATAAAAACACATGCTCATGCAGCATAGTCCAATTTCATAGATTCTGAAACCACCCCAGACTTGTCATGGGATCTTCCTAGGACCCCTGGGCCCCTGCTGATCATGAGAGTCACTGCAGGGACCATTCTAGCAGGCCCACACTGGAGTTCCTCACTGTGTGTTTCTGGTACAGATATTCATGGCTGTGTCCTCGGTTTGCAGATTGTTCAGTTTTAAGAAAACTTGCCTCTTGGATGTGTCCCTGGTGATTGGGAATGGGATTTGAGAGCTGAGTTTGAATCAGTGCCTCCACCACTGCACATTACTCCCATCCACTCCAGAACCTCTCCTAGAGGCTGGTGAACACAGTTTACACCATAGGCAGTTAATGAGAACCAAGAGGCAGTGCAGGGGAGAGACTGGATCTGTGAGTGTTATGAGGCCAGATCCTGACTCCTTCAGCTGCACCTGTGGCAGGACAACTGAGACAAACCAATCACGATCAGTCCTACAATCTATAATGACCTGCCTGGTTCCCTCTCCT